TTAAATCTCAATTTCAACGTGTTATAGTCTAGTAAATGCGAAGACTTTATTGAAACTTATTCTGCATAAGTTGGTTGAAATCTGCGCGTCCATCCTTTCTTTCTTCTTTTTGTGACGATTTGCTTTAGTCCACTGTGACTGAACAATCCACAATGCTAGCGGTAACCGATGTAATCTGAGCCATCGTTAAAACGCAAGAGCCGGAACCAAGTCGACATGTATTATACGCGATCACGCAAGAACTCTTTCTCCACCCTGTCGTGTGCTCAGCTGTGATTTTTTAAACCAATGATTTTTATGGTCGCAACACTCGCGGAATTGCCACCGCTACGAATCGTGAGCAATGATCATTCGCCTTAGATCATACGGTCGACGTAACGGCGACGTTTTTTTACACTCGACTACACACTACTTCCGTACTCACGATGTGACTTCAAGATCTCATAACATTGATCCATAAAAAAGGAATTGTTTTGTCCCTTGGATTAAATTACGTGATTTATGTTATGCTTAACTAAAAAAATGCAAACAAATTTGTTTCTATTCAAAAGTTTTCCAGTGATGCAATTTTTAAGTTTCAAGAAAGTCGATTTTTTTCATATACGGGGTGTTCAACGTAATAGTCCGCATAATTTTTTAGACATTTCCGACGGTTTAAGGAAAAGGTGCAAGGCGAATTTTAAACTGCTTCGGCCTACAACTTGCAATAACAAAAAAGTAAAAAAATGTTTGTATAAAGAAATCAAAGTCACCTTGAATTTTTTAAATAACATTTTTTACATAATATTGTAGAGAACTTTAAGATGAATTCAACGCACTATTACAAATGTTATTTTCAAGAAAACAACAAGAAGTAATAGAAAAACTCGAACTTATTGAAAAAAATATTCAAATTGTTTGCCTCCTTCTACAACACAAAATTCTGCTCTTTTTGACAAATTGCTGTACGTAGCAGCTATTATATTATTTAGACCTAAATTTGCACAAGCTGTAATTATCTTTCCTCGGAAATCTTGAACATTATTATAATTGGTGTTTAATACACAAGAACTTCTAAATATTTCTATAAGAAAAAATCCATCGAAGATAAATCTATAGAACGATTGGCTGTCGGATTGGTCTATGTGTACCTATAACACGATTCTCCAAAGTATCTTGAAGATAGCAGTGAGATCCGCACTTTGCTTATAAGTACTGTTATTTAAAATAATGCTGCATATTTGATATTAAATATTAACAAAAATATTAACAAAAGTGATATTTGTAATAGTGCGTTGAATTCATTTTAAAGTCCTCTACAATATTATGTAAAAAATGCATGGTGTTATTTAAAAAAATTTAAGATGATCTTAGTTTTTATAAAAAAAAATTTTTTTCTATTTTTTGTTATAATAAGTTGTAGCCTGCAATTGAAAATTTACCTTGCAACTTTTTCCTTAAATCGTCGGAAGTGTTTAAAAAATCGTTACTCTAAACGCTCTGTTACAGACATGATTAATTTGAAATGTAGAAGCTAATAACTTCTTACTGTGACTTGTGATGACTTTTTTAAAAAAAAAGTATATATATATATATATATATATATATATATATATATCTCTCTCTTATACACATATATATGTGTATAAGAGAGAGATATATATATATATATATATATATCTCTCTCTTATACACATATATATGTGTATAAGAGAGAGATATATATATATATATATATATATCTCTCTCTTATACACATATATATGTGTATAAGAGAGAGATATATATATATATATATATATATCTCTCTCTTATACACATATATATGTGTATAAGAGAGAGATATATATATGTATATATATATATATATATATATATATATATATATAAATTTTTATATCCTGTGAGTCTAATTGGGGAAAACATTGCGTAAGAAGAAAAAAGTTGTTAATTTTAACGAAATTTTATAGATAAATATATTATTTGAATATAGAAAAGATTGATATTTTGGTAACATTTTAATATAAAAAATTTTCAATTAAATTGAATTAAGTCGAAAAATTTTTCATTAAATCGAATTGCGAATTATGTGAAATGACCCATATAAAATATTCCAGACAGCACAAATTACTAAAAAATGTCTTAAAGATGTTCAGAAAACGTTTAGAAGAAATAGGATGTCTTTTGGAGGTATTTAAAACATCTTTTAGTAAATTTTAGTAGTTGCTGTCTGGGATATCCGAAACTCTGAGTTTAGTTTCGGATTCTCCGCATAAGAAATAGGTCAGAAATTCCACGTGACACGTTGCCTGTTGTAATCATCATTTTTGCAACGGAGCCACGCGCAACGTACACGTAACCCTTCGAGGCCAAACAGCATGAATATTGACTTATGGTGCGCATGTATTACATTGCGTTACATCGGGTCGAAACGAACGTCTAGACTTAATAAGCGCATTATGTGAGGAGCTGTCGAAGAAATCGCAGTCTGATGCAAATTAAGATTTCGCGGTGGCTAATGGACTGTGCAGCGGCAAGAACCGGCTCTCGCATTAAAGGCGCGGACCGGGCGAAAGGAAACGGAGTAAAGATCATGAATCACGTTTTCGTCAGGCCCGCGCCGGCGCTACGCTATATTTTCCTTTTCCGCGCAGCGTCTCAGGGCGGCCGTAATTCGCTTTATTATGCGCAATTTGCGGCGCATTAATTCGCTCGACGCGAGCCCGGCGTTTTGCGTCGGGCGTGAAGCGCGCGCCGTCTGTCTGTCGGCGCGTCGGTTCGAAAGCGCCTTCACGCTTCGTGCGCTCTGCAGAATTCCTTCATCCGGAGAAGATACTAAACCTCTCCAGCCGTTGCGATTTTCCGCGACTAAGAGGAAGACGCACGCGGGAAGAGCTTTGTGATCCGCGCGGAACACGTAACGCCAAGTTCGTGATTCTCCTCCGTTTAGCTCGAGTACATTGACTCTCTCCGCGGTTCTCGCGATAAAAAGATTCGATCGCACGTTTTCTGCGAAAGTGGTTTCGAGTAATTCCACATATAAAGCGAATAATTATGCATATTTCGGAGTGATTCGATCTTTAACCTCGTACGAATTCGTCCGTGATGTATACACGGAAAGGAATATTATATGTAGTTGTTTTTCTTCATACAAACTTTTTTTTTCAATTTTACTATTTTTTTCAGTAGGTCTGTCTGTAGAGTTTATCTCATTAAGGAACAAGAAGTTAACTTTTTAATAAGAGATTTCAGTTCCTTAAATATAATTAGAAAAACTGAAAGACCTCAAGCTGCCTTAATTTATTATATATATATATATATATATATATATATATATATATATATATATATACATATATATATATATATAATAAATTAAAGCAGCTTGAGGTCTTTCAGTTTTTCTAATTATTTCCACTTCTAGATACTTTTCTTTCCATTGTCTGGAAATAATATGATACGATATGATATATCAAACTGTCAAAATGACAAATTATGACTAAATAGTCAACAATCTAAATGTGTATACATTGAATAAATTCTTTACAATCTTGTGTTCCTATATTTTTTAATGATAGTGCCAGAATATACTGTGTCTGTAGAGATTATCTTGCTAAGAAACATAGACAATTTTTTAATAGTATACACTGAGGGAAATGTCTGATGATATTAACAAGAATTCTATTTAGGTTTACTAAACAGTATAGTGAATAATCGTGTAACAAGATATTTAGTCAATGATACCAAACTATCTGGTGAGCGCATTGTCTAAGTAGCATTACGGTGATGCTTAAATACGTTTACCAAACCATCTGGTACAGCACAAAATTGATAATTGAGATAATAAAATATAACCTAGAATCTAACCATATTATATATATAATTTTCATATATTTACTGTATGTAATCTTCATATCTTCATATATTTACTTCTAAATTTACCGACATATTTTAAGAAATTCCATTCTTCCAAATATCTGACGGTTTTAGCGTCCATTCTTTTATAGCATCGACGTCTTTACAAATTAGTATAGATGAAAAAGGAAACGTCGCATCGAGTAATAATTAACTATCGCGTCAATAGTACCACACGTCTAGAGAGAATTACTAAACTATCTAGATGCCTACAACTAAATGTCTCGGTATTGACTGCCAGATGCGTCAAGGCATCGTAATCAGAATATTGGACATGTGAACCAGATATTGCATATAAATTAACCATATTACTTTCATAAGACGAGTATAGTGTCATTCACCAAGCTATTTCTCTCAGTGTAGATTTCACAGTTCCTAAAATATATGTAGAACGGAAGGATAATGAATTAAGGCAGAGTACTATTGGAATGTTATATTAAGGCCGATATGTGTTTATTGGTTGTAAAATTCTACAGTAATTTTTATTATAAAATTTTCTGTGCAACAAATAAAAATTGCGACGCAATTAGAAATATATTGCTGACTTTTATCTTGCTAAAAAATACAAAATTTATTTAATAATAAAGATTTCTGAAATATAAATATAGCATATACAAGACGGAAGGATATTAGATTAAGGCAGTATGTCAATATGTTTCTTAATTACAAAATTTTATAATAATTTTTACTATAAAATTCTCTTCGTGCAAAACGTAAAAATCACCGATATGATTTCAATTACGCGATCTTTATCTTTCTAAAGAACATACATATCTTGTTAAGAAACATACTTTAAATTTGTTGTTAATATAGATTTCAGTTTCTAAAATATAAATAGTGCATATGAAGCGAAGGAATGCTAAATTAAGGCAGAATGTCGTATATAAAAATTCTATTAAAAAAATTTTACGATAATTTTTACTGAAAAATTCTTTCAGTGTAACGAACTAAGGCAAAGTGTCGACTTGTATATAAGTTCCTCGATTGCAAAATTTTATAATTTCTTATTAAAAAGTTCTCTCTGTGTAACAGACCTGAGTCTCGAAGTTAATTATGATTTTGTCGCGCGATCGTGCGAAATTAATCGACCGTTCCCGAATTTGCAGCGCTTGGCGGCTACGAGCGAGCGCATCGTCAACTTCAAGGCGCGACTCATCACCTCCATCATCTAGGACCTCGCCGGAGGATTGAGATGCGGAAATCCAGAAAGAGAAGAGGCCTCGCCGGCTTTGGCGCCGTAGCGTCATGGGCATCATCGCCAGGCCGATCGCCTCTGCCAGCAGGAGCACGGGTACGACGTTGGCAACGTGGCCGTTCATGTGCACAGCGTTGCCCCCTTGTCCCCGGGATCCGGAACTCGATTCCCTCGTCGATGGCTGTCGAGCTCTTTGCGAAAATCCTAGGCAGTTTGTCACTAAACGCGCATCCCCCTAACGATCGACGTTAACTCGATTTTGTCCGGCTTTGTTCACTCCGTCTTCGGTCTAATTCTCTTCATTTTCTTCTCGTCTTTTCTTTCCGTTTCTCTCTTTCTCTCTCTCTCTCTCTCTCTCTGTCCCTCTCTGTTACTCTCTCCTCGCTCTTCCTTTGTCTTTCTCTTTCCTAATATTTTTATTACTTCTACTTTTTAGTCGATTAGTATAACGATAATGGATAGAGGAATTTCCGTAGGTGATTGTCGTTTTGAGACGGTCGAGATTCAGCCGTAGTAGCGCAGCTCGTGCCACGCCGCGTACGGTACGGTACAGTACGACAAAAATACACTGACAGAGACGGTGAAATCGCAGAAAATCGTTTACAATTTGTGATACGACACGCTCTCCGTTGATACTTCGAACGAAATGATTCATGCGCCGACGACTACGGGACGGATCTCTCCGCGCGCCAAGGATTGTCCTCCGACATAACGACAATATTTAAATTCGCGCTCAGATTACAGATGAAGAGTTTATTTTTTTACGTTGAGAGCACGATTTCTCGCGAGAGTAGACGAAAGGTTCGCGCCGCCGGATAGACGATAAGGCCTCCGGCTTGTCAGCGCGAACGACGCGTTTCGATCGAATGTCGTTCGGCACCCTAGCAGCATATATTAGTTGGCCGACTGTAGATTCAACATTGGCTCAATGCTTTGTGCTGCTCGGATATGAGCACGAGATATATCGTAAACTTGTACATAGTTGTTCCCCCGGATTGCAACAGTGCCAGGCATTCGTCGTTTCCACTCATTTGTACCATTGCTTTCTGGTCTAATTATGTATCCTATATATATATATATATTCTCTCTCTTTCTCTGTCTCTCTCTTTTTCTTCCTCTCTCTATTTTGTTCTTCTTTGAAATTTCACGATAACGTAAAACACGTGAGATTCAGACAATGAATTTCGCCGAGTGTGGCTAATAATCAAATCAAAAACACTCTTTCTTGATGCGTACTTCAGTTAATTACGATTTTGTTAGAAGTCCGTCAACATTAATAAACGAAGTTATCCCCTTCTTGAATGTTCTCATTACGGGAATGTCCAATAAGCGGTGCAATCTGAAAGAACATTCGCGATAACGCGAAACGCGACGTATTGTTGTCGTTGGATCGAGCGCATGATTTCTCTGTGTAAAACGTCCCTGTTATTTTTGTAGTGTAAATAAATATTATTGTCATAAGAAGCGAGAATGGTGTGTCCTTAATCTCAACACATAATACGTCAGACGACGAGCTCTTCTCGGAAAATATGTTACAGCGTTGCAGAGGAACAGCGACTACTTCCACTTGTGAGGGAACGTTTGTAATTTATTCGAATTTAACCCTATGATACAAAAATATGATTAGAAAAATATTAGATGGTCCAGATATCAACTAAAGTGACAAAATTCACACTAGAGTTGGGCAATTGGCCACCTGCGGAGACAGATTTTGCGGTGTGTCTGCTATAAAAACTTTTAGCAATAGCTTACTCTTTAGCGGAAATATAAACTTCTAAAATAAAGAAGTTCAAAAGACATCATATTTCTTTTGAATGTTTTAAGATACAGAAATCTTAAAAGTTTCTTCTACCTGGAATAACAGGATCTACTAAGAATACAATGGCATATTGTCGGCAGAAACCAAGCAAGGTCTGTCATTCCCTAACTGTTTGATTACATTTAAATGGAATATACCGCAGGTATCCTCGATCCCCACCGCCAATCTGCTGTCAGGGTTATGTAAGCAGATTCTGTCGACAGCATTGAAGTTTAATGTGGCCAAGATGGCTATCTGCGGCATTCTAATTATTAAATGTGCTGCCAATCTGCCGACATACCGTTAACATTTCGCTTATTAGGGGATTTTCGGCGTAGCTTTGAACATAACGTTTAAGTTCCCGCTCGTGAATATAGGAGAGATTTACAGGAAGTGTTTATATAAAATTGAAATAATCGAACAAGTTGGAAAAATCAAGTAAAGCACAGTAGAACAATATCCGTTATTGTTATCCATATAGCACCAAGACGTCGCAGAACTCCAGGTAGAACAGATGATCAAAATAATGTCAATCTGACGTCATTTTGACCAAACTTACATCATTTTTTGGTCAAAAAGACGTCAGATTGACATTATTTTCATTATCTGTTCTACCTGAGACCATTTTAAACGAGTCTAAAAGACCTGAAGAGTACTCTAAAATGTCTCATGTACATCCTAGATGAAACAGAAAATCACGATGACATCAAAATGACGAGAAGATAACTGTAAAAACTTACTTTTCGATCATGATTCGATTATTTTCTCCTCATTTTGACGTTATCGTAATTTTCTATCTTATCTGGGTCCAAGATAATCTCAAGACTTCTTGTGTTATTTGGGTGTGTGGTTTTGCAAAATCATATTATGCAATACACGCGCGTTATTATTGTTGTGCGATTAATAGCTTTATCATCCATTTTGAGGTCAAATATATATACTTACAATACATTATCAATATTTGACGAAGTGTCGGAATAAAAAATGAACTACATCCCGGTAAGCATTGAATAATAGTTATATTACGTCAATGTTATAATTTCCCACTAAGTAATGTCATTGTTACATATAACATGTCACATTGCATTGTTGAATAGAAAATTACAACATTGTAACTGATGTAATATTATTATTTCATGTTTACTGAGCTGTCAGTTTGAATATATTTGTTTATTTTCAAGAAATGCTTGAAGCTTTAAACGACTCGCTTAATTGTCGAAATTCGGCCAGTCTCATCTCTCAAAATGAACTGACACTTGCTTCTCTATCTTATAATATATATAAATCGATCACTTTACATAAACATTATTCACACTTGCATACACACATTCACATGTATACACATAGGGAGAAGATACTAATATCTTAACGATTTAACAAAATATATTTCCGAGTTTCTAAGACGCACACTATCGCAATTCCGTAACAATACAAAGATCATAGATCTAGGTCGCGTGTGGATTTAATCATATTTTTAAAACCCACATCGTTGTTCATTTAGACCCACAGTGCAAAGCTTATCATAGGACATACACATCAGTGATTAGTTATATATTATATATAACTAATTATATAGCTCCAAATTTTACAGCTCCTATCAGTACGATCCGCCGAATATACCAATTAAAGGTATTTCACGTATACAATTGTACGTGTGACTATTACACATTTTTATGAACATTACATATCTCTTTTATCGTTTACCTCGAATTCCATTTCACCGGTTCCTTCATCTTCGAGCGTTGAAATATTGTTTCCTTCGTGTTCTAAATGTTCGCAGGAATCCCAACGCCATAGCTATGACGGTGAAGTCAAAGGCGGTGTTTCCTTCTCCTCGTCCGGTACATTAACATAAATGGGATCACCCAAACGAACCGTTCCGTTAGATCCTCTTAGTCCAAGGTGGATGCCCATAATAGGACTATCACCGACGTAAGGTCGCAGCTCGGGGTCATTTATTTGCCTGTAACTACTCAGAAACAAAAGTTTCTTCATTAGCTTTGTTATTAGTTAGGCGAGTTTAATATAATATTATCAAGGTTCTGTACATCAAAAAATACTAAATAACTAACAAGTAAGAATGAAAATTGAAAATTGAAATTAAAAGTCCCGAAATTGAAATTGCAAACTTGAAAATTAAAAATAACAATTTGGATTTGAAACTATAAATTTTAAAATTGAAATGGAAAGCTTGAAAAGTGACATTGAGATCTTGAAAATTTAAATTAAAAGTTTGAAAATTAAAATTGTAAATATGAGAAATTAAGAGAACAATTTAAATTAAGAGCTCCAAAATTAAAATTGAAAACTTGACAATTGAAAAGTTGAAAATTGAAATAGTTTGAGAATTGCAAATAAATGTTTGAGAATTGACATTAATAGCTTGAAAATTTAAATTAAGAGCTGGAAATCGAAATTGAGGACTTTAAAATTAAAATTTGTATTATGTATGTTAAAAAGAACCCAAATATATATTAGGGTCGAGATGTTTGTTTCGTTTTTTATTATTTATAAATATTATTGCGCACGAGTAATAGCGTTTAACTCTTATTAATAGCGTAATAGCGTTTATTAATAGAGTAATAGCGTTTAACTCGTTCTTTATTGCTTCAAAGCCAGATGAATTTTACGTTATAAAAACTTTTCGACATCTTATGTGATATTAAATGACTTTTTTTACGCTACAGCCCAAAAAGAAAGATATATCTCGTGTTATCGTCAAACGATAATAACACTTTCGACGCACCTTTTCAAGGTCTTTAAGGGTTCCACATCAATATTCTTCTTGCCGGTTTCCGGATCCACCGTAGTAAAGATGCACCTCGTACATGGCCTGACATTTCTCAATACGACGTTCCCGATCTTCACCCAGTCCCATTTATCTTCCTCGTAAGCGGTGGTACCCTTGACCACGAAATTCATACGAAATTGCTGTGGCGTGACTGGTTTTTTCAACCGACTATTAAGATCCGTTATCGAAGCCTCGGTGACCAGACTATAACTCGTTGCATCTGGATAGGCTCCCTATCAGGAAAAATCATTCGTGCGTTATTCATTTGAAATATCACATTAGCATAACTTTTGATAGCTATACCTTTAACGGGAAGTTACTTACGGTATCTATCGCCTCTGCCAAGGGGAAACCCTTATTGATCGCTCTCACGTCTCGCGACGTTTGATCTAACGTATAATAAACCAATCTAAGACCGACGTCCTCTTGAAGCAGGAAGCGTGACAGCCATCGAGCAGGTTCTTCACCACAGTCGCATGCTGGCACTGCTTGGCCCCATACAGCAGCTCGGAAGCTTTTGCCACGAAGTTGAGCAAGGTCCACTGATATCGACATCATCCCTGGAGCGCGAAGCGTTAGCACAGAACCGGAAATGTTAGGCGATACCTTGAACAAGATGAAGAGAAACGATTCGTTACAGAAATAATAAACTGTAACGTATCGAGGCGAGACGACCTAGATAGTATAAAGATTTATATATATGTATTCTATCTAAAATAAAATGTCTGTCTATTCCCTATACATTCTTAAACTTAATCTGAACCAAATTGTGCGTGATTATTCTCTAAAATTCTGTGGAAAATACAGACTTCTTGTCCTTGAAATGTCATATTCTTGAACGAATTCTAAGGCAATTTTTCCTTTTCCAAAAAGTTATTTAAAGCTTAGTTTTTGAGTTATAAAAATAAATAATTTGCCTATTACGAGTCGGATGCCTATAGGAGGTAAGCTGGAGCTTTATTAAGGTCCTTTTACATCTATTGCAAGTCGCATAAGCATATACAAAGGTTGAAAGAATATTGTAGAACTTATATTGTAAGAAATTGTAGGATTCATTAGTTAATAACATGATTTCAAAACAAAACATTAAATTTTATGGAACATTGCCTCGAGAAATACTATAGAAAATTAATTGATATTGTTTTATCAACGACAAACTTTTTTTTGTTAATAGCATGTCATCTCTGAAATCCCTCCGATTCCTACAATATAACAACATTTCTTTATTTTATACAATCTTGTTTAGTTGGTTCACACGCGGAATCATTCACTGAAAAACGATTTTGAACAGTAAAGTACGTAATAGCTGAGGTGTGCGACCTTGAAGAGTTAAATCTTGCAGTTTCTCACCTGGACCATCTTCGGCATTTGTCTGGCGGTGATAAATCGTCCGTCGAGATCGATTACCATCAGTGTCCGATCTCTCAACCAACCTGACTTCAGGCCCAACTGTGTACATTCCATCGCCGTGATGCGAACTGCACCGAGCGATTTGACCGGGAAAACGATCAAGTCGCTCAGTTCTCCAACCTTACGCCACTTAGTCGGCAACTGTTGTTTTTGCCTTCTGGTCCACCACCACCAGATGACGAAAACCGCTGTACCGGCGCCCACTGCGGCAGCCGTGGCATACGCCAATCGTGTTCTGTCTGAAAATGCAAAATGAAACGGAAATTGTAGAATATGTTATCAGAACACAAATGAATAATTTCTCTTAGCAAGTTAATAAATTGTTGACAAATATCGAAGGACAAGTTTATATTAAATATTTCTTCACTCCAGAGGCGAATATATACGGACTGGCACATGTTTCTTGACACTTAGTGATTACGATATTTAATAATATTTGTCGCATTTGAATACAAGCCGCTTATTTTGAGAGCGATGTAAATTTTTTAGTCTATTTTTCACAATACTTTCTTTTATATTAATTTGCAAGTGCAGAAAATAAGTTGTTTATTTTTCTTGAAATTAAATATTTATTGTTTTAAATAAATGTAAGGAAGACCGGGTTTACATGATCTTATATGTTGCTTATGTATTTTTTTAATATTTATCTTGAAAGGAATAGTGGATATAGAATCGTGAAATGGTTCTTTTAGAATATAAATACTTTTCCCTGAGTTTCATTAAACTCAGAACATTAAGTAACAGAAAAAACTGATTTGGTAGTAGCAAAGTAAATTTTCGAGCCTCTTGAAAATTTGTATTTTCTATTTTTCATTCTATTTTCCATCGTGATAGAAAAAAAATTAAGTATTACTAGTTACTAGTTAAAATAAAATTTTTTGCAAATGTATGGTATACTGTTTCTGGTAATAAATACAATAAAGTTGGCTCATAATTAAGAGCCGGTAGAAAGATTGAGGAGATCTCTCACGTAACTACTAATCGGGAACTACTAATTGGGTATTTTATGTAGTCTTCTTTTTTACCCTGCGCTATTAAGCAACTGAACCCAGCAACTGAATCAGGGCAAGATAGCTATGTTGCTACACGTTCTGGTTATTATAAAACCAATATACAGGGTGTCTCACACTTTCCTCCGGGCATTTTGTAGGGACGTAGAATGGGTTGATGTGAACATAAAAGTCCCGTACCGTTTTGCGATATTCGCAATAATTATCGAGATATTATTTGTAGAAAATTTGTGAATGATCATGTAAGATATGGTAAGTGAGTTATAGTAGCAACGACTGCTGTCGTGTACTTATATTTTAGGTCAAATTGAACAAAAAAGTCCTCTACTATTTTGCAAATAATTATAGATACATAGATTTTTAATTATTAATTAAAGAAGATGAGTGCATTATCACACAAAATCGTGCAATAATCTTCTTTAATTAATAATTAAAAATCTATGTGATTATTTGGAAAATGGTAGAGGACTTTTTTGTACAATTTGACCTAAAGCATAAGTTCACGACGGCAGTTGTCGCTACTATAACTCATTTATCATATTCTGCATGATCATTCACAAATTTTCTACAATTAATACCTCGATAATTATTGCGAATATCGCAAAACGGACTCATAGGACTTTTATGTTCACATCAACTCATTCTACGTCCCCACAAAATGCCCGGAGGAGAGTGTGAGACACCCTGTATACGGTTAAAAGGTTCGACTCAGGCATTAATCCATGGAAGAAGGTTATCTCTATCATGTTTATACAGTCAGCTACAACAATCAGTTGCCTGAGAAGTTGTAAAATACATAAACTACAATAACTTCGAAATTCTAAAATACATATATAACATTTAACCCCGGTTTCCCCTTATATGACGTCCGATTTTAATGAAAACAGTTGAATACGTCAAAAAATTTTTGGGATATAAAAAATTGTTTTACACCAAAATTGTTCAGTTTAGAGTGAAATGTACGATAGGATAATATCATAATATAATAATATATAATAACAACTATAATAAGATAATATAATAATATTATAATAATAACGTGAAACGTTTTATCTTTCAAGGTCTTCTTAAGGCTAACTTCAGTTTTTTAAATAAATTTTGATACTTAAATAAATTTTTTAAAATAAATTTTGATTATTTTAAATCGATTTCACTCGTGATTCTACGTATAAAAGTAAAATAATAGAACGTAAAATAATAGAAAGGTGAATTCCAAGACATTCACGTTTTATATTTATCGGCATGAAATATAAAATATCTCGGAAAGTATCGATTTTTCGATGTAATGGTACCTTGATAATATTATATTATTATTACAATTTTAATAATTTGATACTATTTTAGAATTATGAGAAAAATCGATTACTAATCTTTGCATATAGAGACGTCAATGCACATTTAACATGCAATGGAAACTTTTCATGAAATTTTTTTAACGTTCCTCTGTGATTTTTTTATATTAACTAATATTTTTCATTATTTTACTAGTGTAAAATTAGTACTAAATGTATAAGAGTATGTTATTAGAATATTCCCAGATAGCACAGAGAATTAAAAAAGAATTCAGTTACATGTCATCAATTCTGAGTTTATTTTTAGATGCAAAAAGAATTTTTTTCACTGAACTGAATTCTGAAAAATTATTTTTGCATCTGAAAATAAACTTAGAATTAGTGACATACGGCTGAATTCTTCGTGAATTCTTTGTACTATCTGGGTTAATATAATTGTGTACAATCAGTGACTGCAAGAAGCACTTTTACTTCGATGAATTTTCAGAATATATTTGATATCCAACATGCGAAATTGGTTTTTAATCATTATCAAAAGATATATTATTTTATGGGATTAGATTTAAAAAATCACATCGAGATGAACGTATGGCAATGTTTCTTGCTGTAACTGTACCTACAGTAAACAGCAACGCGTAGTGACGATCGCGTCACACGTTCGACGAGCATGATGAAGCATTCGAGTGGTACGGAGACTCATATCTTTCGGCTACAAAAAATTAGTCCGCGCGACGTATAACCGGTTTTATGAGTTCTAGAAACGTTCAATAAAATGATCATTAAATGAGGTTAGCCAATCATTCATCGGCGGTACACAATTACAGTAAATCTGCTAAAATATCGTCGAAAGGCGACGAAGAAGAAATTTATTTCGACTGAAGCAGTACATCAAGTAGCTTTAAACAAGTGTAGAATCATATGTGACGTAACGTCGACGGAAAATATGTACTTAACGCGCTACGAAGCAGTGTGAAGATGAACGCTCTGTACAGTCGATGCTCATCTAATCGCTCGTATTTTATATGCCCGCACAAGCCACAACGACAGTGTTTGCTGATAAAATATATACGCCCACAGTATTCTAAGAGAAAAAAAATATCGCGCTGTTACTTTAAGTGAAAAACGAAAGAAAGTCGTAGTACGATGTAGTATGCTTATTATTTTATGCTGTTTTCTTTCGATGGATGATGACACGCGTAGGCGAACGATCGAATGATAAGTAACGATATAGAACGATATAGCAACGGGTGTGGTAAATTTACTTAAGATAGTTGCATCGCATAGATAAATGATCGTGATGCGCATCAAGAGAACCATCCATAATGTTATAATATTCATTCATATTTATAAATTTACAATATACACTGAACGAAATTACGTTTCTATATATTTATTTAACTATTTAAATAATCAGATTTAATTTGAAATGAAATTGTATGAGATATAAATTGTATAAAAAATAAATAAATAAACAGACATACACACATATATAAAAGAGGTGTATAAATCTGATCAGGCAGCATCTCTCTGCGCGGTACACTTTAGATAATGTTGACAATACTTCAACTCTGAGGACTCATAACTTAGAAAGTTTTCATAAAAAAAAAATTGTAACCATTGTTTCGTAAATATTTTAACAACATCTATCAGAATATGTAATAAAAAATAGATTATTCAATCAAAAAATTTCAAAATAACCTTTACTTGACCTTGAACACTCAGTCCAAGATCTAATTAAAATGCTCGCAGATATTGTTCCAACAATTTTTGTGTTTAATATTTTCTTCTAAAATTTTTCATTTTCGTGATATTTTAACGACTCAGGACTTTTTGAACACTATATACACATACAATTACAAATATAAAAATATTTTCATTTTATATTCATTTTTCACTTTTTTATTATGTTTTATGCATTAATTTAATGTCATTCAATATAATCTAATAAAAATGCACAAATAATCAAGAGCTATATAAGTATTTAAATATATGTATATATACTTTAAATATTAAATTGAGATATATGTACTTTAAATATTAAAATTATAAACTTTCCACCGTTGTATTTTGAAAGTAAAACAACTATTAATTCTGAAATTTATATCATGTCTGTGTATTAATTCATGTATATGATACACTTTTAATTTCCTTTAATTTCTGTTTATTATTTTATTTCAGTTTATACAATTTATTTCAATGTATATGCAGTGTAAGCTTTAATAAATTCCCACAAAATTCATTTCATGGGTACAATTGCTTTAATACAATGTTTGTACCAAGTTTGCTTTTAAACTCAAAAGTTTGCAGAGTGCGGAATCAGAAATCAGAAATCAGGAATCGTTGGGAATAAATGGTATTCTACTTTTCCATGTTTTGAGTAAAATTATCGTTATTTCTGTATCGCAGTATCAAAGCTCTGCTTTATCTTAAGTAGCAATGTAATAAAAAATATATGTACATAAGTTGTTATGTAACCATGCTTTGATATCTCGCGTCTTGCACATCGAAGTCGGTGTAGAATCCGCTTTCAGAGGAAGACAAGCTTCGGACCCGAGAAACCCGTTATCTTAAGTGTTAAACAGTTCGTTAATTAACGTTGCGCATGCAAATCACATAGATCTACGGTTTCTCGCAGTTGCACTTGGAGTAGTACCGTCTACTACATTAGAAACGCGTCGCAGTATAAATTTCGCGTGTAAAAATTTAAATGTAAATCCTATTCTTACTATATGGCCTTTATACATATTCAATTTTTCAACTTAGTTCGAACACACGAGTTATTGCAAGAAATTCTTTTGTCATGCCAGTATCGTAGATAATAACGAATACTTTTTAGTAGAGTAAATGAATCGTGTTATATTTTTAAAACGAGCGCTATTTAATAACGTTCAGTAGCCTTTCGCGAACAATTTTCTGCAACATGTAGCAGCGGACAATTTTCTGCAACTTGCAGCGAATATTAAAAACTGCTGAGTAACAGTAGTCGACCAACACTTTAAACGTGACTGGAATCATTGCGCAGCAATTTGTGGTCGGATAAGAGCGACATATCACTATTAACATATTGCTTGCGGTATGCGTCGCAATCGCTTCTTCTTTCGAGCCGTTCTATTTTTTATTTTGCGATTAAATGCAAGATGCTATAAGATAAGAGATAAAATAAAACTAGATAAAATAAAACTAGATAAAATAAAACTAGATAAAACAAAATTAGATAAAATAAAACTAGATAAAATAAAACTAGATGTCATAAAAATTAATATCATAAGTTACGTCATATATCCTGTTACGTCATAATTCATTAAACACCAAGTGCACTGTGAGAGAAAAAATGTCTGAGAAATAGTATAAGAACTCACGTAATGTGAATGGAAAATCATTGAAAATCACCCCAGTGCAGAATATATTATTAATATAATCCAAATCGAACTACATTTGAATTTTCTAATAGTCGAAAAGAATTGTGAATAACTACAGAACAAAGTCGCGCCCAAAAGAGTCGGAGTGACTCATTCGAATCTTCGGACCCTTCGAAATATATTTTTCTGGGAAAGGGAGTATTCCATGGTGAAGTTCGAGGGGACTACGCACCCTTCACTGAATCAATACCGCGGGAAATGAAGGCATGATTCGTGCGTAAAGGGGATATGGCTGGCTGTTGAAGTGTAACTTGCACGATCACTTCGTCGATGAGAGATTAAATTTCACGAACGATCGAAAGAATTTAAATAAAAACAATTTTATATATTTAGAGTAGCGGAATTAGATTTTCAAAGTGTCGAAAGTGTGTCATATCAATAACTGATAAAAAATTGTCGATAATCGATAATTGTAACAATTGTTAACAGTGATTAAGATAATTATGTAGCTTTAAATGTCGTATTTTTAATAGGGAACACATTAACTACTTATAAACTATTTTCAGCGAACAAAATTACGTTTCTATACATTTATTTTACTATCTAAATAATCAATTTTAATTTGAAACAAAATTAAGATAAATTTAAAAATTGTATACATTCACACAATATTATAAATATAAAAATATCATTTTTTATTTTACTTATTAGTGTTTTATGCAATTTAATGTAATCAATTCAGTATGATCCAACTGCAATATAGGTTAACTGTAAAAACTGTCAATATACTGAGAACAAATACTTAAATATTTATTTGTGAGATATGAAGTTTTTTTTCTGTGAATAACTTTTATATCCCACAAATAAGTTTTCAAATATTTTTCTGTCAATGTAGAGTATCGATTATAGACAGAATAGCTATGTAGAACACGATAACGCTGAAATTATCAGCAAATGACAATAAAAATTCATCTTTCGAATATCATTCAGTTATTTTCTCGTCATTTTGTGATTTTCTGTTTTACAAAGTATATTTCACCTCTCATCCGACGTGCGTTGGATGGCGAAGCCGGCCGATGTATCGTAGGAGAGATAAAATTGGGAGAAAACATACATACATTGTTCATAGGAAATGTACCGTGCGAAATGCCGGATTCCTCACAGTCATTCCCCAGAGCTACAATGCTTTTCCGCTCTTACGCCTTTCCATTGTGGAATGTACACATGTAAGCCAGACAGACGCGCTGGCTCTCATTCAGTGTAATCGCCAAATGGGCATAACATCCGTTCGCTCATGTTTATGAATTATGTTATTTTATGGGCACACATCGCGATTCGCGATTCACGTCACGCGTTATCCCCCGCAAAATGACACATGACACGTTGGGTTAGCTAACTTCACCAATTTCCTTACGTCGGCCAATTTGTCATGGACTTTGAGCATTCTTTAATCCCCCGTACTCTCTACTTCTTATTGTCGACCGCAATACACCGTAGATACGGCAGCAATTCAACGTTATTATCTGTACAAGCCGAGCAAGTAATATCACAAGTCACTGAACCTCTCATTATCGCGTTTCGTCATTTTCTTTCCGCTTTTCGTCTTGCGCGTTGACCTGCTCTAAATCTGGAGTCATTCAACCGTTGGTCATCTCCCCCAATAAGAAAATCAATAAAGCAGTAAGCAAGTACTTCACATTAAGAAATTCCAGAGCAGGTGATTGCAGTGCGATAAAATTACATGTATTTATATATATATATATATAAATATATATGTATATATTTACCCATAATCAATGCCAAGGTTGACGAAGAAATTGGCCGCGATAAACCAAGACGTTTTCACCGATAAGGACCCTAGGAAATATCAGTTCTTAACGATAACTACTCCTCTTCGGGAATGCCTAAGCTGGGGAACAGGCCAGTCGAACAACCTCTTCTCTCGCAGTTTCCGCGACACTGGCTCGCTGGACTTCACGTGCACGCCGCTACCATCTCCTTCCTCCGGAGGAAGACACCGTTATCCATTTGCTTTACGTTCTGTTATCTCCTTCCACTGCTGTAGTAGTAAAATCCCGTCGATGCAGCCGTCGCCGGGCCGTTACTGCCGTCTCCGCCGCCGCCGTGTCGACACATGCGAGGAGAAGACATCGGTGTGACGTGCGAAAGCTCCGTCTGGAATTAGCACGTAGCTTTCTACCAGACCTGGCACATGCGTGTTTCGTTGGAGCACGTGTACGCCGGTCTCTGTCGGTTGGACTTTCAAGGCTTAGATGAGCCATCGGACGTGCCAGATGTCTGCAACTGTACTGAACTCTGATAATTGTTGGTAATCGGCCTCGTGAAAACTCTATTACTGTGCACAATCAATAGCCATTGACCTCATAATATAGTTGACGTACAGTTAGTTGATGTATATATGTACATATCGTATATATCGTACATATTGGATATGAAGAATTTAGCTTGAAATACGAATATATCAATGTTCAAATTATTGATTAGGCGATAACTGAGTTTGGGCAAATGAGAGTCGAATGTTCGACTAAATGGTTTTAAATTTATTTCATACTTTATCTTTTCTAATTTACATCTGTAATTTTATATTTTATTCTCGCATTATCTTTTATCGGAGAATTCTAAGAGTCTGTTTTTCAGTTTACTAATTACAACTTTGTGTTTTATTATGTGTGTGTTAAATATTCTCTAAATAAAAAATTTTAACGTGCAATTTACAAGGAAATTTACAATATGCGCCGCGTTAGATTTGGCTAATCTTTATATATGTGTAGTAATCCCTTTCCTGTAAAAACAGCTCGTATGACTATTATCATTGAGCATTAGCTTACGAGAAATCAGAATTAAAAATTTTCTGTGCACGTAGAGTACCGCTTATCAGGTCTGTAAATATGAAACTGGAATTTGCCCATAGATGGCCCTAGCTGTCAATGTAGTTACCGTCAAACCGCGTCATTGGCGCCATTTCCTTGTTGACATCTCTGACAAAGATTTTCAACTCACAACAATACAAGTTTCATACAACAGCATAGTTTGTAATAGCGTTGAACATGTCGAATTTTGTGCCTGGAAACTACGATTTGCGGATAGCATTGATTTTCTGTTACCATTTGAAGAAAACTGCTGCAGAATCGCATCGAATGCTTGTCGAAGCTTACGGTGAGCATGCTCTTGGTAAATCACAGTGCTTTGAGTGGTTTAAAAAATTCAAAAGTGGCGATTTTGACGTGAGAAACGAAGAACGTGGAAGACCACCGAAAAAGATTGAAAAAAAAGCGAATTGCAAGCATCGTTGGATGAGGATGACATTCAAACGCAACAACTCGCGGATCAATTAAATGTGATACGAGAAGTCGTCTCCATACGTTTGAAAGCCATGGGAAAGATCCAGAAGATGGGAAAATGGGTTCCACATGAACTGAATGAAAGACAGCAGGAAAACCGAAAAACCACTTGCGAAATGCTGCTCGCCAGGTACAAAAGAAAGTCATTTCTCCATCGAATTGTGACTGGCGATGAAAAGTGGATATATTTTGAGAATCCTAAGCGTAAAAGATCATGGGTAACTCCAGGCGAACCATCGACATCGACTGCAAGGCCAAATCGCTATGGACGGAAGACAATGCTCTGTGTTTGGTGGGATCAGAAGGGTGTGATCTATTATGAGCTGCTAAAACCTGGCCAAACCGTTAATACTGAACGCTACCGACAACAAATGATCGATTTGAATCAAGCTTTGCGTGAAAAACGACCAGAATATAAAAAAAGGCAACACAAAGTGATTTTGCTTCATGATAATGCACCATCACACACAGCAAAACTGGTCAAGGAAACGATTGAGGCGTTTAGTTGGGAAATACTTTCGCATGCGGCTTACTCACCAGACTTGGCACCGTCCGATTACTATTTATTTGCATCGATGGGACACGCACTTGCTAAGCAGCGCTTCATTTCTTACAAAAATATACAAAAATGGCTCAATGACTGGTTTGCCTCAAAAGAGCAACAGTTTTTTTGGCGTGGCATCCACAAATTGTCAGACAGGTGGGAAAAATGTATAGCTAGCGATGGGCAATACTTCGAATAAAATATTTTTTATCATTTTCATACAATAAACGTATATTTTCTACAAAAATTCCGGTTTCATATTTACATATCTGGTAAATAGAAGCAAAACGCAAGCAGCGAGTAGGGAGCGCAGCTGAAACGCTCGATACCGGCTTGCTCCAACTTTTTTTCCATTTTTCTAGAATATGAAATAAAATAAATTATTAATATATGAAGTAGCCAACATTATCATCCCAGTATTATTATCATTCGCATTTTTTAAACAGAATTGTACGAAAAGCAATGAGATACGCCTGTCAATGAATAAATAAATTATTTGTTTAAAGTTCGCGAATGGATTTTATTTTAACATTACGTTACTAGTTATATTACTTTGAAATACTTGCCTGATGGAGTTTTAAGATGTGTCCTGTGGAAACGGCCTAACAGTGATATCGTTTTTGCTACTTGCGGACCCGTTTCTTTCACCCTCATTGTATAGTGGAAGGGTGATGGAGAAACATTTTTCGTAGGTAGCAAAAATGATACCACTATTAGGCCATTCCGACAGGACACAAATCTTAAAACTACATCAGGCAAGCATTCCCAAGTAGTATAACGACTAGTAACATTATGTTGAAATAAAACCCCTTCCCGAACTTTAAAAGAATAATTTATTTATTCGTTGACAGGCGTATCTCATTACTTTTCGTACAATTCTGTTTAAAAAATGCGAATGATAATAATACTGGAATAATAAAATGACTGATTCATTTATTATCATAAATGTTAATTACCCAGCAAATACAACGTTACATATAACGTACATCTTAATTATAATTTCCTACTCAACAATGTAACTATTATATAACATACGTGTTATATAACAGGGTATTTTCTAACATAAATCGCACTATAATCGTTCTTATACTAAATTGACGAACTCTCAATTAGATAATTCCTCGGTACTTTTTAAAAATTTTGTGCCAAACATTTCTTAGTAATTCATAGTAAGAATATTTTTCTTTTAAACAGTGAAAAATAAGTGTTCAAACTTTTCTATTTTCGATTGTGTACCCAGCAAACATAACATGTAACATTACATGTAACGTCCCGGTAAACATAAAGTAACAGTAACATAACATCAATGTTATAATTTCCTACTCAACAATGTAACTGTTATATAACACGCGCGTTATATAACAGTTACATTATTGAGTAGGAAATTGTAACATTGATGTTATGTTACTGTTACTTTGTGTTTACTGGGATACATGTTAGTTGTAATTTCCTAACACGTATGTTATATAACAGTTACATTATTGAGTAGGAAATTGTAACATTGATGTTATGTTACTGTTACTTTGTGTTTACTGGGATACATGTTAGTTGTAATTTCCTAACACGTATGTTATATAACAGTTACATTGTTGAGTAGGAAATTATAACTAACATGTTACATGTAACATTGTGTTTGATGGGTAGAGAAAATTTAAATGTGGCCATGTCATAAAAATTTTTGGAATGTGTAGTGGCTTCTTGAACCATCTTTCACATGAATCTTATATATGACTTCCGCTTGTGTTCGTGAAACGAAGATGTCAAAAAATATGCGCGAACACTTTCATTTATTCTTAACGTAAAATAAGTTTTTCAGATTGCACTGAATGGGTTTCACAAGCATGGATAATACCCTTATAGAAATATCATACTAAGAATCATTGATAATTATTTATTATCCAGTATTTTTAATACTGAAAATAAGTAATTATCAATGATTCTTAGTATGATATTTCTATAAGGGTAGCCCAAAGCTATTAACAAGCTTTAGCCCATGGATAATAATTCACTCTAAAAAAAGGCATGTAAGAGATTTAATTGTTGCCGCTTTTCCGCGATGCTGATTGGTTCTCTCGCTCAGCTTACTTCATATAGGCTGCGGCTTGCTTCGTCCTTATAGAAATTTAATACTGATAAGTGATAATTTGGCTAGCGATAATTACTGTTGTTCAATAATTTTATTACTCGTACGAGTAATAAAATTACTATTTATTACTGGCCAATTTATCACAGCCAGTAATACTTTTCTATAAGGGGTGTCGTTTGCGTCTGTCAAATTACCAAGCAAATAGTTGTCATCGCGTTGGTTAGGTCACGAAAAAAAATACAGAAGAGATATGTCTCTCCCTGTTTTTCCCTGCCTCTCCTGTCTCTCCTTGTCTCTCCCTGTCTCTCCTTGTGTCTCCCTGTCTCTCCATATCTCTCCCTGTCTCTTCCTGTCTCTCCCTGTCTCTCCTCGTCTCTCCCTGTCTCTCCGTCTCTCCCTATAATTATTAATTAATTAAAGTATATTTTAATTTAATTTAATTTTTATTTTATTTTTATTTTACATTTTTTATTGTTCTTTATTAGTTATATGGCGCGCGCGTAGCGCACGCATTATTGTTCTAGTTAACAAATAAGTTAAAGTACATCTCGCGCTATAAAATCGAATGGAAGATCACTTAAACTTATTATCATATAGAGTGAAAAGTAAAGTAGTTTAAGCTATCATTGTTTAGTTTAATTATATTCAGTTACGACAATGATTAAGTTCGCCTCGCATACTTTTGTGTTAAAAGAATTATTCTATCTTCTTTCGGCATATAATTAGCGATAAAGCTAATGCTTTCAGCATTATGCTTCATATAATGCTTTCGAAGTAGCAAAACGAACTTAGCCAGTAACTGTCGACACCAGTGAACTCTACCCTAAAGTGTGTTCTTTTTAGTTGAACTAGATTGCGCTTCCTTCCTTTAGAAAGTAAAACAAATATATCGAGCACTGAAGAGAAATAGTCAACTCTTATAGAAATATCATACTAAGAATCATTGATAATTACTTATTATCCAGTATTTTTAATACTGAAAATAAGTAATTATCAATGATTCTTAGTATGATATTTCTATAAGGGTGCATCCCAGTGCAACATTACGTGCATTCAGTACTACAACGGTCATTGGGTGCGTTCAGAAGACATAACTGTTGCACAACGGTTGAGTAATTAGTCAACGCAATTGGTCTAAAGTTAGGGATCTAACAGTAAGGACCAATAATCACTGACCGCTCACTGTTCAGCTATGTTTTCTGAACGCAGCCATTGTTGTATAGATTATTCGAATGGTCAGGTTCCATAGTTTCTCGCTGCCTGTTAGCGCCCTCTTAAGGCTGTTGAGGACAGAGTTAAAGCAGGACTGAGTTAAAGAGACAGAAGGCGCAATACCCGTTATGACTCGACTTGTTCCTGTAGCACACGTGTGCCTTCTAGTATGTTACAAAGTTCACGGTCGTCATTATTGGCATCGCGCGTGTGCGAAGATCTAACACTGACGTATTTACACTTATCGATGATTTCAGGAAGAGTGTGGCTGTCTGATCGCGGGAGTGTTTTGATGTTTTCACAAAAGTTCCCAACAGGGAGCAACAGATCGAACGACTGATTGTCGTCTTTGAATAAATGTGAATGAATGTAAATTCCAAGGATAATCGTGTCACACTGCGAAAGACGTAAGCAGTAAAGTGCGCAGCTAGTTGTTCCATTATTCTTTATTTTATATCGAGGTAAGTGTCAAGTGTCAGTTTGTTGACGATTTAACCTTCTGTCAGATATATGTTAATTGAATCTCTTCATACAATCGAAGCTGCCAGAATTTTGCTGCCAGAATTTTGAAAATAATTTATTTTGAGAACAATTTGTTCGAATTGGTTATCAAGAGGTTAAGATTACGCCTTTATTAACGTGCGCGTGGTGTGTGTTGTGTGTGCGTGCATGTGGTAATTAGTCATTATTCGTAGAAAAACATTGTTAAACTACTCATAACTATCTATATCTAACGAACACTTTGCAAACTCGAAATTAGTTTCAAAGCCAAGTGAATGTTTGTATCTACTATTCCTACTGCATAGAATGCCTGTTGTTTTTGGTTGTGATATGTTAAGAGATAACAGAATGTTTCCACTGGGAATATTGTATTGTAAACAGGAAACTTGTTATGCTATATTGGGAGGCTTACTCAAATGGGCGCAGACAGAACAAGAGAGAAGCAAAAATATAACCAGTCTGTCCTTTCTTCTCTAAGCTAAAAACATTAGCTGTGTTCAGGGACATATCAAGTATAAAGAAAGTACAAAAGAGTAAGATCCACATTTATAATGAAGTTTATTGGGTTAGTAAAGCAGAAGTTTGCAGCAGGGTTGTCAGATTTGAAAATTGAAAAATCTAGGCAGACTTTCTTCGAAGAAAACAAACTGGAAATATGATTTGCAAAAATATATTTTTCTTTAAGAATATATGACAGACTTAAAATCATTGCAACAATAAACAAAAAATATAACAAGAATACAAGAATGTGGTCACATTCATCTTTAATTACAATCGACAACAGCAAAGAAGAAAGTATATTATTGTATTATTGTAAGAATATAAGAATATAATTGCACATTTATAATCATTACAAAATAGAGATAAATAGAAAATTAGACAATAAAGAAAATATATAAGGTACTATTTTAAATACTCAAATTCAGGGCAATTTTAATATTAACTAGATAGCTAAACATTCTTGATAAAATCTGGACTGTTCAGTTAAAATCTGGATGTCTGGCAACCTTAGTTTGCAATAAGAATCACTGGAAACTGTTGACCAATCAAAATGCACAGACAAGGAGAGATTTGGGGCTTTAATTGCTTCTTTTTCCTTTTTGTGCCAGTACATTAAGCATTGGCATGAGCATTAAGCATGAACCTTCTGCAAGCATAGAAGAATTCAAGATAAGAATTCTAATATAGAACTCATTGTAAATACTATATTGGTCCATGATAAAAATGATTTGATTCAGTGTCAGTAGGAAGTATCTTCCTCTAGGTAGAAAATGTATGTAGAAAGAATATTTGTCACCGTCAAATAATATTATCCTTACATAATTTAATTATTCGCATTAACATCCATCATACAACTTCTATAGGTCTTATCTCTTTCTTAACTAGAGAAATATCTGATTGTCGAGTTGCTTTTACTTTAACTTTCCGTTTCTTTTGTTACAGTTGCCGACATGCCGATTTTATTCAGTGTGGTAGCCCGTGGGCCAATAATATTGGCAAAACACGCTGCGTGCACGGGAAATTTTGAGGAAGTCACAGAGAAAATTCTGGCAAAGATTCCGCCACACAATGACAAACTCACATACTCGCAGGGGCCTTATCTTTTCCACTATATCTGCGAGGATTATCTGATTTATATGTGTATTACAGATGATGTATGTATCTAACATATTATGTATGATGTATGTATCTAACATATTAAGATGTATGAAAGAGGGAATATATTATAGTAAAAATTACGTTAAAGTTATATTTCGTTTTACAATAATTGTATGATTGAACTGTATATTGTAGTAAATTACTATAGAAACAGTAAATTTGACGACCATAGAAATAGCAAATTTCTAAATATATGATAAAAAGATATTCAAGTAATTACAATAATTTTATAATAAAAGTTCAAACATGTATAACATTTTCAAATAGCTTAGTGACACTCTTAAATTAAACTCTGTATGGTTCAAGATTATAAAAACTTTGTTGTAATTTTGACTACAATATTTTCTCTATAATAGATAAAAGGATCAATCTAACATATCTAATATAATTTCTATATATAGATTAATATATAACAACTTCATTTTTCAGGATTTTCAAAGATCTAGAGCATTTTTATATCTGAATGAAATTAAGAGGAGGTTTTTAGCTGTTTATGGACAGGGTGCTCAAACTGCCATGGCATATGCCATGAATACTGAATTCAGTCGTGTGTTAGCCAATGAAATGGTAATATCAGCAAAGAATCAATCAGCATAGAAAAGTTGTTTTCATAGATCTATCTAGTCTCATGTATGTTCTTTTCTGTTTTTGTGTAGAAACATTATAGCGAATCAAAGGATCTTGATAGATTGTCCAAAGTTCACGGTGAGTTAGACGAACTCAAGGATATCATGGTAAAAAATATTGACAATATAGCGATGCGCGGCGAGCGATTAGAACTCCTTGTGCACAAAACGGAAAACTTATCTGCTAATGTATGTAAAAATATGCCTATTGTCGATGTCGTTAATCGTTATTGAACGTTTCAATAATGATTGGTTTTTATTTCAGTCTGTCACATTCAGGAAGACAAGTAGAAATTTAGCGCGCTCCTTATTTTGGAAGAATGTCAAGATCTACGTTATTGTTGGTGCTATTTTAATCGTAAGTTCAACGTTAGGATCAATTTGATTTTCCGATTTGTTATTGCGATCTAACCAGTGTATTTTTTTTGCAGGTTACGATATATGTAATCGTCTCTATAGCGTGCGGAGGATTGGCCTGGCAAAAATGTGTTGGTAACTAATTTATATGCCAGAACGTAATAAAGGATTCGTTATCGAATAATCGATGCAGAAGGAGGAAATGTTCACGGGAATTTAGTATGAGACTGACGACGATTATTCAACTCAAATTTATTATACGAATGTAGTTTTACTATTGTATAACACGATAAAAACGTTGTGCACGTTGCGCCGAAATAGCTTTAACATTTAAAGAGGAGTGTTACATGAAAGCGTTTTTATGAAAGTTAAAAGTGATTAGAAATATTTTTTTAAGATTAGTCTTAATTAAGGGGAACTATATCCCGAATTAGAGTGCTTATACATATCGAAATGCTCTTGCTTTTGGAAAGTAATCTGTGTTATGTAGCATGGAGAGTTGTTAATGATTGCGTTCAGCAGAGAAAGCTGCTTTGCAACTGTTGTAAAATTCGTGAATTTGACTGGAGTATGCTCTTAATTTTGGTTAAATCCAAGAGCATGTACAAATCGGATTCACGAATTTTACACAGTTGCAAAACAGCTTTCTCTGCTGAACGCAGTCAATGGTTGCGTTCAACAGATGAAAACGCTCAGTGAACGCTTTGCGCTACGCCGCCACTGTTGTAAAATTTTCTGCTGAACGACAGCGCTTTACGCTCTTGCAACATGTTTACGAAGCAGTCGCCATTTTTAATAGTATACTTTTATTTCGCTCCACCGTTCCGTTTACTGAACGCAGTGTCACAGCTGCTTCTAGATAGTGTTACCACTTTTTCGGAATAGTATACGGTCATGACGCGTGAATATGTAGATGCATTTTACGTGGTTGAGATTTTCGATCGATGCTAGTGGCGAAAAAAATGTTAAAGCTATTTTGGCGCAGCGTGTATTAATACGTATCTATACATACACACATATGTTAATACATATATTACATACAACTGCGATAATCCACGTATATTACGTTATATGTTTGTATGTAATATAAATATTATAGATGCATATATATTACATAGGTATACAATAATTTTATTATATTACTTTTCTTATTTTTACTAATGTAAATTAGGAGCTACTCTTGGCTTTCCGCGAACTTTTCTACTTTCGCGAGTACGGCCATAGCAGTTTCAGTTTACATCATTGCACCCGGTGAACACGTATAATTGTCAAATTGTACCTTTTACACCAGAATACACAAATGTCTATTATTCTGTACTTTATGTCTGATATTTTGGAAAAGTGAAAATAAAAGTATCCACATACAGGCAGATGCAACATTATTTTAATTTGTCGCGCCTAATCACGATGAGCTTTAAGCACGAACAAGCAATAATCTCTGTCACTTTCATCTCGCCAAGATGAAGTCTCTTCATTCTGGTCGCTGTCGTGGAATTGCCATTCTGCTTTACCGCGCATCGAGTTTCTCACGCCTCATTAATCACGTTGGCTTCTTTTTGCGCACAAGAACTTTCTCATTCCAATAAACCACCCTTATTTCCTAGTAGCTATTTCGAAGGCGCATGCGCGCAGCTCCGATCTCACAAGGGCTGTACCACATCCCCGGCGTATCCTCGAGTTCAATCGCGTCCCAATAATGAAATAATCGCAGTTCTTCGTACTGCACGTCAGATTTCCGGTTTGACGTTAATCGCATCGACTTCTTCCAAGGAGCTTCCTCTTCCCAAATCATACTTGCAAAAAAATATACAAATTACATCTCAACAAAAAGGATCATCCTGCAATTATCCCAAGCCTTGTAACACAGAATCTCTAGTTTCTAAAAGTACAGATGTAATGTGACGAGCTTTTTGCGATGCACGGGAATTCACGGGACGATCAGGCAGAATAAAATAAGGCGGGAAAGAAAATCTCAGTGGAGTGTCATTCGACCTTTGGCCCCCGGAGGCGACGGTCCATCCCCTGGCTACGGGCTTGCGCCGCGATGCAACGAAGTCGTCCGGCGCAGCGGCGTGCGACGGGTGGCGGCGTCGCGGCGCGGGCGCTCCCGTCTCGACGCCCGGGCCATCGGCAGCAGCCCGGCGACCCTCGCAGGATGTCGATGCCTCGCGTGGCGCGCCCTTCGGGAGGTGCCGAAGTGTCCCCGTGCCTCGTTACCGCGCGCCACGATTGATCGCATTGCATCCGGTTCGATTTTGGAAAAACGCTCTTTCTCTCTTTCTCTGTACTCGCCTGTCTCTCTTTCATCCCCCTTGACGTTACATCGTCGTCGCTCCGCCGTGTATCTCGCTCTCTCGCACTTTCTCCCGTTTCCCGCTCGATTCGCTCAACAAGTTTCACGATACCTTTTTTTCCCGGAGCGTCGCGAGGAAAGTTCTACCGGGCGACGCAAGAAAACAAAAGTCCAATTGAAGCGCGCGACTTTTCGCGGCTCTTCCTCCCTCAACCCCGACTGAGAGCAGCGGGAAGGAGCTCGCCGGGAACTTCGTTGCGAGGCTCTCGTACGCACCCCCGAGCGACGGGCCGCGCTCAGGTACGCGTGTGCATGAGGAGGAGCGCGTTGGTGCGTGTGTTTACAACCTGCGGATAGTGCGGCGGCGGCGGCGGCGGCGGTGGTGGCGGCGGCGTTAGGCACCGATTACGGGATATGGATTCGCAGTGGACCCGAGCGGATGCGGAGGGTGGCAGATGACGGATCCGCGACCCGAGCGAGCCGGCGAGAGGAGGAGTCGAATGAAAGTGAAAACGGGGGACTGCGTGGTGCGTACTACTACTACTACTACTGCTGCCACTATTACTACTGCTACTACTGCTACTACGATGTGAGAGGGAGGATGCGTCGCCCCTCAGGAGAACGACGACGACGACGACGAAGGGTGCGGGAAGACGAGCACCGGCTGCCTACGAGTGCCTCGATTTCTTCCCGTAAGTGCGCTTCTTTCGTTCCTTCGGTCGAACTTTCGCTCAAGAGTCAGGCCAGCGGCAGGCGATGTACGCGAAGTCGCGACTTCCGGCGTTGGAGGGAAAAGAACTATTGGACTGACGCACGAAAGGCAGCCGCTTCCGCTCGTTGGGTTGCTAGTCGCGAGCTTTCATCGTGAGATCTGATAATCCGATTGAATCGAAATTATTGACACGCGCTCCGTGTCACGTCGTGTCGACAGGTCTGTGCTAGATGTGTGAAGACTCGTCTACAGCACACGGAGTGAGCGTAGATTTTGGAATAAGAAATAAAAATAATTTATTTCGCTTTTATACGTCTTTTAAACTCTGAATCTCTTGCGTCGGAAGTGTATATTTTTCTTAAGAGAAGTATCTCCGGCGTAAGCAGGCTGGAGACGTAAGCGAAATAAATACTCTTTTATTTCTTCAATTTATGAGCCTTCTACAATAAGCCATTAATCATAAGCCCTAAGCAAACTGACCAACCATAGTCGATTATTCTTGAAAATAAAACCGTGGTTGGCCAATTTACTCGCAGCTTATGGCTAATGACTTTTCGTAGAAAATCCATTACATCAAGCTTATTCCGCGTACTGTAGACGAGCCTTGATAGTTTGCATGAAGAATCCTAAGTCGACGACGCAAGATCGATCGGCCTTTATTCGGGCTCTTCTTGAAATAGATGGCCGAAATCTGCGAGTGAATTGAGCGATTCAACCCCAATTTCTCTTGTTGTTGGGGTCGTTTATATCATTGTTACTCGCGTTTTGCATAACCAATAGCCGGAAGTCTCTCGCGGGATTCAAAATTCGGGAACGTTTGTGGATAACGACAGTCTCGTAAGCTCGCATAAGCACAAGTCAACTCCAAGGAGTGAGAACTTCGTTCGGCATATTTCGTATAGATCGAGATATTACCGCCTCTCTCGGCTTTGTTTGTAAATAGCACGCGAGCGAGTCGGGGCGGGCTACGTTTTTTCGTCTCGATGTGGCTCGATAACTCCCGCGGCCTATCATTTGCCGACGTTTCTTTTTCATCCTGTTGCGTGCTTTATTGCGTGCATCTAGCAACGAGGCGTATAGTTTAGATAAAACGTCGGAACGCGACATCGCCGGCGTAAAAAGGCAATGAACTGCTTCCGAGCATGAACGCGCGGAGTGGAAATACCGTCGGCTTTTCTCGCACGCGACGGGAAAATCGTTGTTGCGGAATTCTGGGAAAGCAACAACTGCACTACTGTACCAAAGAGCGTCGAAACTATCGACGCTGCTGGATATAGAATTTGCGTATCGATCGGTGTAGAGAGGCAATCCTTCCGTCTCACTGTGTCGATGTCGTATCGTTCGGCCATCCTCGCGTCGCTTCCTGTTTCTATCGTGACGTTCTATCGCGTACTGAAGTTATCGCGATGTTTTCTCGTGCGATCTGCATAGCCGATTCACCTGGTCGTTCGCGGAAATTGCTTTTCCCTCCATTATTGACGTTAATCCGTGTTATTAAATATTAATAATTTAAAACTTCAGTGATGAATGAATCGAAATTAATTGATTTAAGGATCAATACACGCAGAAAAATACACACTGTATTCAAGTAAATGTTACTTGTTTCAAGTATTTCATAAGTTTGTATGTCCATAACTCCGTTATTAGTTCATTCAAAGAGTGCGGCCGAGCGCCCATAGACATTTCGTCTTTTTCAAATACTTGGAATATTCCAACTAATGATATATCGGGAGAGATCTGAAGTTTACGGCGAATAGATTAAAAATATAAAATCTCGATATTATTCTCAAGATTGTTTGGGAAATATGGTATATTTATTTTGAGATTGCAATCCTTTGGACCAATCAAAATCATCATTTATCAATCATTTATCTTTCAAACGACTACGAGAATAATATTGAGATTTTATATTTTTTATTTACTCATCCTAAGCTTCAAATCGATGTAATATTTATTGGAATATTCAAAGTTTTACAAAATCCCATGCAAAAGAAGCAAAATTTGGCTGCACTCTTTATTCAAAATACATTATGAGTCCTGATAAGTTCGATCAGAAATATTAAATTAAAACAGAATTTGGTTTGCTCATCGCAAATCAACTTTTTCTTTAACAAAATTTTAGAATGTTTTTGTAAAGAGAATAAATTCTTTTTTTAAGTGACATGATAATATGCTCTTCTAAAATTTGTGATGAATATTTTAAGATTATTATCAAGAAAGTATGTTTTGTTGAAGAGAACAATTTCTTAAAAAAAGGAAAATAAACTGAAGATCGCTCTTCTTAACAGTAGAACGATATTGTTTTGTGTATAAGAATCTTATCTCTATCATTAAAAAGTAAATAATTTAAGACTCTGTTAATATACAAATTAAAATAATTTAATGAAGAGCTAGTAAGAGCTTAAAATATAAAAATTATACAATCCAAATAATTTAATAAAACGTATTGTTTAATCAAATATCCAGAATAATAAAGATATTCTGTTAAACAATGTGTTTTATTTTTTATTGTATGTGTGTATATGTGTGCACCACAAAATCTTTGTACAGGCTCTAACTAGCTTTTATTAAGTTATTTTGATTCTACATCAGCAGAACTTTAAATTATTCATTTTTTTACAGTAAATGTAGACCTTCATTAAATTATTTTATTATCAGTGTTTATTATTAACGTTAATTAATCGATTATCATCGGTTCACGCTCACAATCGCTATCTTCGCGTTTTGTTTGAGAGCACGTGTTTAATTTGCGCGATCCGGAGACGACAATTCGTGATCGGTATTGTTGTGCGTGTGACGATGCAAAACTGCTTGCGTTCGCCAACCTAGAATTTAACGCCTGACCCCAAGCTGTTTCTGCTGTGCCCAGTGTTTCCCTAATGCGCGCGGGGAGTCATTTTGATGGAGAAATATTCGATGCCACGTATACGAACCATAAAACGTTCGAGGAACGGGAGGGTCCGTCTCGTGGAATGGCGTTAGGGACGAGCTCGAGCGGGAAGAATGTTCATTGACGTTAGAACTCCTGCGTCCCGGCGAGGAAGCGCTTCACCGGCACCGCACTGGATTACTCATAGAAGGACAAATGTCTTCTGAAGGTACGACGCATTGTTTTCTTCCCCGACGGATTCGCCTAATATCTTGACGAAGCACTTAAAAAAATGAAACGGACGGTTGGGTTCGCAGCATTTTAATGTTTCTCGAAGTGTACACACAGAAAAATATCATTCTTATTGTTAAGAAAAGCTGTTATTCAGTTTACTTCTCCTCTTTTAAATAATGGTTATCTTCAACAAAGAATATTTTCTTGATCTAATGTAATAATCTTAAAATATCCTCAAGTTTGAGAAAAGCTCATCATCTTATAAATTTTATATCTCACAAATAAATTTTCAAGTATTTTTTCAGTATATTTACAAGTAGTAAAAACCGGAGGTAATTGGCTACGGTGTAAGTTGGCAAAACAGATTATTTCTGCTATTTTCTAACAGGTTACAGATTTAAACAAGCAAGAATTTTAAACATGTTTAAAGATGGCTTTAAAGGTGGCTTTGAAATATCAACTTGATTCTGAGATCTGTTAAAGAATAGTAGAAATAATCAATTTTGCCATCCCGATAGCCAACTAATCTCCTCTACTGAGAAAAGAATAGTTTAAAATTTATTTTTCAGATATAAAGTTAACTCGCAGAAATAAACTTTATATCCCACAAATAAATTTTCAAGTATTTTTTTCTCAGTATAGACCGAAACTCTTCAGTAGCTAAAGACCAAAGAAAAATGGACATATCGCGCATATATTCTTTTTCTTGAGATACAGATATAAATAGGCAAAGCACTCGGCGTCGTAACGAGTGTGAGCAACTGCTTGTTCTGCAATTCCCTCCCTGTCAGCGTGCAAAATGACGTACAAAGCCGATACAAAGCGACTCGAGTTTCGAAGATTGTATCGCTGAAAGCTCCGCGTTAACTTTAGCGAGTAATTATGCATTCCGTGCGCACAAAGCAGCGTCTTAGACGGGTATCCTGTTACTTCACCAACAACAATTCCGCGCAGCGAGTTTGCCTATAAGTCTTAGCAGCAACATGACTAAGCTGTTAAGTACATAAGTCTGCTTCTCGCAAGATAAACTGAAGCTCACGACGATACGTTCCGCTACTTTCGTGTCAACGCGTTCCGACGAATTTGCTAATAAAGTCGATCGCGAAAAAGAGAGGAAAAGAAGACTTCCGTTTGTTCGTTGCTCTTTTATATATTTATACACTAATCAGTGCGTAAAATAATTTGTTTGAAATAACCTGACACTGAAGAAGCCAAAGCGAGTTTGGTTCGTCCATTGGCAGGTTAATGCAAGCAAACTTTTTTCTCCGTGCATGTAATTTAAAGCCGACTCTGTAGCCAACAGGCGATCGTCGCAGTCCATAATTATATTATACAGTTCCGGTCGAAATTATTACCGCGCTGTGAACGGGATAATTAACTCAAAGACAAACGGGGAGTCAGATTTAATTTTCTACCTGGCGTAATTAGTTTCGATCTTACAAAGTACGTCCCTGCACCGCCGTCTCGTCACCTTACGTAATTAAGGGCACCGAAGCCCATCTTCAACGGCCGGATGAAGTTCCCCACGTGAAACACGTGATAAGCATTGTTGAAAATTCTGGGTTACAATACTCTTATTTATTTTCTTATTCAAGCATATTGCAATATGCAAATCTCCATACATCGAAAAATATACTCTGAACTATATATTAAAGTTATTTGTTTCAAATATTTCATAAATTTATATTATATATCCGCAAATCTATTATGAATTCTATTATGATATTAAATTTACTCAAAATACATTCTAAATCCTAGAAAATTTAATATTTTAAATAAGCATATCAAATGAAAACAAAAAAAAACAAAAATTCGGTTTGCTTGCTATACAGTCCTAGAATAATCTCTGAAACTCTCGTGGAGGCATAATACGGGTTGAAATAAACTAAAAGTTTTATGTCGTTTTATGATATTTGCAATAATTATAGAGATGTTAATTAAAAATATTTGTAAATAATCACGCGAAATATAGAAGATGGACTGTAGTGACGACATCTGCTGTCATGTAGGCCTTTATTAAATTATTTTACTATCATCGTTTATTATTAACGTTAATTATTATTAATGTTATTTAATCGAGCTTGTACATTATATTAAACTGAATAAAATAGTCCTCTATATTTTTCCAAATAATTTTATAGAATTTTAGTTATTATTAAAGAACATATTAATATATTATCGTGAGCAAGAACATTAATATATTATCCGCTAATTTTCTTGAATTAATAATTAAAAATTTACAAAGTTATTAGAAAAATAACTTTTATTCAGTTTGACTTAATATACAAGCATACAATGGCAAACATTGCCATTACAACTTATTTATTATATCTTGCGTGATCATTGGCAAATCTTCTTCAATTAATATCTCAATAATTATTGCAAATATTACGAAACGGTACAGGACTTTATGTTCACTTCAATCCTTTTATATTCACCTTAGTCCATACTATGCTTCCACGAGAGCTTCGGAAATTATTCTGGGATAACTTGTATAGAATCGAGCCTTATATTACTTTTTCTTATATAAAGTTTTATAATATTTTTGTAAAGAGAATAAATTCTTCTTTTGAATAGATAATAACGAACTTATCTAAAATTTGCGATGAGTATGTTTTAAGATTGCATTGAAAAACAAATACTTGAAAATTTATTTGTGGAATATAAAGTTTATTTCGCAAAAATAAACTTTATATTCATAAATAAAATTTTTAAATATTCTTTTCTCAATATATTATCAAGAAAATATTCTTTGTTGAAGATAACCATTTTAATTGAAGGAACTAGAATTTCTAGTTCTTATAACCAAAATTATTTAAACTAAAACGCGTTTAGTTCGTTCATTGTCAGATTAATTCAGTCAAATTCTTTTCACTGAGAAAAAACTAGTTGAAAATTTGTTCATAGAATACAAAGTTTATTCACAGAAATATATTTTATTTTACAGAAATGAATTTTATATATTGTACAAATAAATTTTTAAATATTTTTCCTCAGTGTATATGAGAATTTGTTTCAATAACGCGGTTAATTTTCTCTCGACACGACAACACTGGCATATCTCTCATAACGCTCAGCACCTAATTTAACCCCGTGTAATAAGCGTCGATATAAAAATCACGATCTGCCGGCGCGTTCCGTTCCGCGCGAATATCTTTCGCGAGGGTGCGAAGGAGTAAAGAGAAACGCCTTTGATACCCGGAGTTGAAAGTTGTCGTTGAGAAGAAGGCCGCGCGCGCGATCACTGACTCTTTTCACTGGAGTATTTTCGCATCGCACGGTCGAGAGCAGCTTCCTGCTCTCTCTTTCTCTCTGTCTCGAGCGAAGGGCAGGTGGGAAGAGCAGGAAGTTGTGTAGGTGTAGAAGCGAGAGAATGAGGAGGAAGAGGAAAAGGAGGTGGCGTTCAAACGATCTGTCTTTCAAGGGCCGATTCTTTCAGGCTGTAAACCCGGTGGTGGATTGTGTGTGCAAGGGCCCACCCTCTTTAGAATTCCCCGTCCGTAAAGGAGCGAGAAGCTCGCCGAAGACAAAGATACGGGGGGTTGGCGCGCGAGAGGAGCGGTAAGGAGGACGAGGAGAGGCGCGACGCGGAGGTGCGGTTGAGCCCGGGGGTGGTGAAAAAGCGAGAAGGAGATAAGGAGATAAGGAAGATGGGAGAGAGCTCGCCGGATCTCAGCCTCCGGCTACGCCAGGGCAGTTCCGACTCCAGAGATTCCTTCTACATGGACTTCGCTCAGGTACGCCAGCGGGTGGCAAGTGAGACGCCGCGTAGATGAAAAATCATCTGTCTCGAGTAGCGAGGCTAATTACTCGGAAAGATTTCGGGCGACGCCGACTTGGAGAATTACCAAGTTGTCGCGAATCCCGAATTCCAAATCGCTGTCTCCAAATTCACGACAAATTATTGCGCGAACGAACGAACGCAACTATGTGTCCTCACTTGCGTAGTGTATATAAACCGACGTAATAACCTTAACATTTTCTAGTCCTTCCCATTTCATACTTCAGGATTATCTAAATTTTTTTATCAAACGCGTCGTGCTTACACATCTGTGTATCACTGTTGACTAAAAATAACGATATTTCACATAATATTTTTTCCTTTTATATCGATTTTATTTTTTATGTTACAAATCTTTACGTTTTTTTTTATCTGTTTTTTACGTTTACTTTATCTGAGTTATGTTTGAGATATTGTTGCTGCTGAAATAATTTTAATGATCACATAGGCCAAGTAAATTAATTATAATAATTAATAACTGAGACTATTATGCCGATCTGTATACGTATATAATTGAGAGCAAAGATATCTAAAAAATAAAAAATATTAATTTAGTGAGTATTATTTACTTATATTAATAATATTTTTACATCGAGAGAAAATTTACAAATGAGAAAATATATACTGGGAAACAATATTTGAAAATTTATTTGTGGGAAAGTTTGTTTCTATGATTAAATTTTATATCCTACAAATAAGTTTTCAATTTTTTTCTCAGTACATATTTTCTAAAAACCGTATTTTTTCACGACCGTTATTGCTTATTCTATTTAAATTGTATCTCATGAAAGTAACTGTTTATTCTGTTTAAATAAAAGAATTTAAAATTAAGTAAATATATTATTAGTATTTATCGAATAAATATATTTTTAATTTTTTTATATATATTTTCTTTCAGTGTAAGCGCGCATTTGTTCTTTTTTTCTTAAATATATCTTATGTTTTTTGTTATGTAAATATATTTTTTTTTCTTTTTGTATGTTTTCGAGTTTCACGCGGTTTCTGTCTCGTGAGCGTTTTTACAAAGCGTTTTTACCGCTCGTAAAATTATAAGTTTTTCTTTCTTTCATGTGAAAATGTCACATTTGGAATTGAAGAGTATATAGATGAAAATTCGATAATCATTTTTTACTCTTGACATTCGACGTGGCGGTGAATAATTTTTAGGACGTGAGTGTCGCGATTCAATAAATATCTATCAAGTCAATCTCTCCGGATATTCGCGGCTCTATATTTGACCCTTCTAAAATCGGATTAAAGTGTAGCAACGTGTCAATAACAGAAATGCCGCGCCAATAGAGCCGTATGCCGCAAGACAAATTCGATATCCTCGCAAATATCCTCGAAACTAGGACGTCCCTAAAAATAGACGATCTATATAAGAACGACTGAATAATTTAGAACTGTACCTTTAAAGATCCGCATTTATTAATTATTCACGCTGATAGAACGTAATCGTGTTACGTCCCTAAAAAGCGTATCGTTATTGCATTTCTGTTAATATATCAATAATGCATTTAACTTTTTTTTTATAATTGTGTCCTATCCTTAAGAATATGACGTATATCTCTAAAAATAAATATAATATTATTCATCTACGTCGTTTAATAAAACGTTTTTGATGGCTAATAATAGTTTATTTATGAAAGAAAGTCAGTTTTATTTTTTCACCAATTTTCCAATTTTTTCTAATAAACTTTTTTAATTACCTCCTGCTGAAATCACTTTTCAAATCAAACCCTTGAAACACTATTTATATTTATCTCATATATCTCTTTTACACTGTAAGAAAAAATCCAAAAAATGAAAAATATATATTTGGTACTAATAGCAAATTCATTTAAATCTAAATTCTTTTATTTAAACAGAATAAGTAATTGCTTTGAAAAGCAAAGGTTTTAAAAAATATGTGTTTTCTTGAAAAATATTTTTGACTTCTTAGATGTTTTTTCTTTCAATGTGAAATAATAAATTTTCCAAAATAAAAACTGAAGCTCAGAAGGTTAATGTAACTTATTAGTCGAATTTTGACGTTCGGCCGAATTAACATTCAAAATTTGCAAACGATCAAATAATTTAAACAGCTCTATAGCACAATTTGTCCGCTAGCACGGATTCCTCTTGTATGAGGAAATATCTTGATACTTTGTAAATGAACATTTTGCCATTGGAAACACGTGAGACGATCTTTAGCGGCTGAAAACTCTCGCGAACAAAAGCGACTGGCCGCACCAGCGTATCCCCCGTTTGCACTCCGCAGGGTATCGATTCCGATATCGAGGAAGTGACGCGACCAGGCGACAATAATTCCGATCCGATGCTGGAGAATCACCTGGAAGAGAACGGGAACGAGCTGCCGCCGATCGAGGACATCACGACGATCCCGGAGGAGGCTTCGGAAGAATTGAGGGAAGAGGAGGAGGCGGCCGCGCTGGAGGCCGCTCTACGAACGCCCGACGGTGGCACGCTTAGCACGGATATCGAGAAACCGTCGGGCACGATCAGCACGCAGGAGTGAGTAGAGAAAATTTTTTTGGCTGGTCATGCATTATTTCCGGAAATATCAAAATCTCGAAATTGAGAAACTGGGAGACGATTTCGCGAAAAGTGTCATAATGTCGAGACAGTAACCCAAAACATAATTTTCCCCCGAAATGTATAATTGTCTTGAGAAGGAACAATTATTCTGAAAACACACAATATGTATACAGTTGGGTAAATATTTATTCATTTGGATACGTTGTCGCTATTCAAATGAGTAGAGCAGTAATAAAACAATTCTAATAAAAAAATGAATAACAAAGTCAATGAGAGCTGATAAGAGCAGGTTATTCGTTCCGAAATTTACCACTACAGTTCATCTGCCATGTCTCGCGTGATCACTCATAAATCTTTAATTAATATCTCGAAAATTATTTCAAATATTATAAAACGACATAGGACTTTTATGTTCATCTCAATCTGTATCTATCCCCAAGCTTCGGAAATTATTACCTTCCACCCTGCATATCATAAGAACTATGGTCGTGACAATTGTATAGATAAGCATGTGATAACAGCAACTTGTAATGCCATATTTATTTCATTTAAAATTATATAAATTTTCTTTTTAATAGAATATGTGAATATAACAGCCATAATAGTTTTCTCCGTGTATATCCTAAAAGAACCATTTCGCGATTTTGTATATCCATTGTTCTTCTTTAGATAAATAAAAAAGCAACATACCACCTAGACGCGATTTCCTATATATTTGCTTCATAAATGCAATTAAAGGAACTGTAAAATTTCCATCACTGATTGCCTCACGCATGATAATCATGATAATCATGAAAGTCTACCTGGGAACTCGCTTTCACTTTCCCCCGTTAGTAATTTTCGCGGTCGTTAACGATCCGCGCGGGTCGCTGGCGGGTTCGCGAGCCACTCGACTCGCGGACTGAAAAGTCCGGATTAAGCTGGGAAAAGCGAGCGAACGGAATAAACGGATGGTTCTCACGGCTGGCGACAGCCAACCACCCGAGCCAACCCGCCGTTTTCAGTTCATGTCGAGTCGGCTGATTTAAGCCTCCGGAGAAGTGGCGAAGGAGAAGAGGGAAATAATAATTAATGTTCTCATCGACACACGACGTGCACGAGAGCGAAACCGCGAAGAAAGCGGTCGCTCGACGTCGATTCGGGCGTTTTGTATCGATTGTTGCCGCTTTGTATGCACCACCGCAACGCAAATTACAGCCTCCCCTAAAGTGCCCGGCGTTTCTCCACACGTCTCTTCATTGAAGTGACCAACGTGGCGGCGGCGGTGGCGGCGGCGGCGGTCCCGAGCGAGCAGCATTAATCACCGTCTGCGATTAACGCACATTTCCCTCGGTTCCCGGCGTACGGTTCCCTGCACGTTGTACACCGTCGGCAATTAAACCTGATCGTGAAAAATGCCTGGGCGATTTCGCAGTAACGCACCGATTTCTCCCCGCGCCATCAATTCCACGTCCGTTTTACAGACGGGATGCCTTCCGATGCAATTTCCGACGAACGTAATAAACCGACGTCTCGTCTCGTCTCGTCTCTCGAATATACGACGAGTCTACATTCGCTTCGAATATCATCCGAAATCGGAAACTCTTCCACGCCTTGGAAGTGTCGACTGCTGGAGATACGTTGTGCTCATCGAAGCGTGCCAAATGGGTTCAGTAATACCGCGTATGGTTTATTCTCTGTGTGTATTACTCTCGGAAAAGCAAGTATTTGGTACTTGCTGTCGTAATTGCATAGGAAAAGAATTACAGCCGAGAAAGCCATTTTACAATTATACAAAATTCGACAATCGAAATAACTCGAATCAAGCTGAAGGAACGCAATTTCGGCGTTCTATATGATAAAGTAATTGCTTTGGTTCTTCCAGCAAAAGTTTTACGTCTTTTTAATCTCTGGTCTGTGTAATTTAAATCTTGAAAAAATTGAATTCTTTTGAATACTTTTCAATTTATTTCAACAAGGCACTCGTAAAGTTCATTCGACACGTTATCAGTTATTATTTTATATCTGAATATCAGATACACATTATTATTTATTATCTGATTTATTTAATCTTTCATTAAAATAATTTATATTGAACAGTGAATATGGTAATTCTGTAATATCATAATACCGAAAATAAATGTGACAGAATCATGTGAAGAGATAAGTTAAAAAGATATATATTATACGTCACACATAATAATTAACGGCATTATTAATTGTCACAGCGAAAGGGAAGTGTTTGGACTATTTAACAGACCTGCTCGATTGCATGTGTCGTTTTATAAATATATCTTTTTATTTATATGTATTTTGCAAACATTTTTAGCATGATTTTCCTTATTTCTGACGTCGTTAAAAAAAGATGAACGAGTACGACCTTTAATAAAAGAAATATGGTTAAAAATCCAACGAACTCTTTTGTGTCTTTGATATCGGGTTCAAAATTTAATTCAATATTTCAGTCAAATTTAACTTTATTACAATTGGAACAGATTATTCATCAATCAAGTTGTATTAACTATTTACTATTGATTAAATTTAATATTTCTAATTCTTCCATAACAGAATATTGATCTAATTCAATTTTTATTTAATCCGCTTCGATTACGGTTTGCGCAAAAAAATTCACGTAACTTTAAAACCTGATTTACTTTATTTTTGTCCTCAGTGTAGAAAGTGTTATTATAATGTTATTGATAATAAGTTTATATACATAGTACTACACTAGAAAAAATATCTAAAATATAAGAAAAATATTTCAATAAGGCACTTTAATTCGATACATATTATATTAATAAAATATTTACTTAAATTCTTTTTAATTTAAATAGAATAAACATAAAGGTTTTTATGAAGACCGTTTTTTTTTTATGAAAAGCTACGTTTTATGTATAAGAAAAAAATGCATATTTTTATGATATATATATTCTTTAATTTTTTCATTTAAACAAAATTTGTTTTCAGCGTAAAAATGCAAACTTTGAATTGCGTCACCTTGAATTTAATAATAATAATATAATAATATTTTAGAGGACTTTAAGATAAATTCAACGCACTATCACAAATATTATTTTTATTAACAATAATAGTAAAACAATAGAACAACTCCAACTTATGGAAGCTAATGTTCAAATTGCTTGCCTCCTGCAACACAAAATTCTGCTCTTTTTAATAAATTGCTATGCGTAGGAACTATTATACTATTTGGATCTAAATTTGGACAAGCTGTAATTATCTTTTCTCGAAGATCTTGATTATTTTCATTATAATTAGTATTTAATATACAATTATTTTGATTGGTCTTTGATACACAAGAACTTTCAAATATCCTCACAAGAAAAATCTATTTGAGATAAATCTGTAGAACGAGGCGGCCAACAGATTGGTACATTAATTATAACACGATTTTCAAAAGTATCCTGAAGATAGCAGTGAGATCCGCACTTTGCTCATAATTGCTGTTTAAAATAATGCTGCACATTAAATGTTAACAAAAATGATATTTGTGATAGTATGTTGAATTCAAGTCAGTATGTTTCAGTATGTCAAGATAGTATGTTTCTTAAAGTCTTCTATATTAAGTAAAAAACAATGCATGATGCCATTGTTTGCAATGCAAGATGACCTTGATTTCTTTATAAAAAAATATTTTTTTTACCTTCTTGCAAGTTGTTATTGCAAGTTGTAGTCTGCACGAAGCAATTGAAAATTCGTGTAACAACCTTTTCCTTAAACCGTCGAAAGTGTCTGAAAAATCGTGCGAATTACACTGAATACTCTGTATATATATTACGATTTTTTTATAATTGATGAAAACGTCAACTTCGTATTCGCTTGCCTGATAACACCTCGATCTCCATCCATGTATCGAACATTATCGTTGCTTGTCGTGGAGTTCCGAATGAGGCAATTTGTCAAGTCCAAATTCCCCTTGGCCCGTCCCGAATTCTGGCAAGAGGTCGCGTCTGGTTTGCGGGCGAATTCGGTCCATCCACGGAACTCGATTACTTCCACCGGATATCGAACGTTCGAAATCGCGTGCACGGAACATCGGCGTCAGAGTTAATATTGACCTGTCACTCGGTTATGGCTTACGCTCGACCTCCACGCGCATCTTCCCTCTCGCTTCCGGTTCAACCTTCGGAGAGACCTCCTAACCCTCTCCCACGCGCTCTCCTTCGTACCGCCGGCCTTCCTGAGAGCCTCACTCCCCCCCTCGTCTCCAATTTACCGGGAAAGCAGCTTATTCCGTCGATTTACATGCAGATTCAATCAACGTAGACACATACTCGCGCCGACGCCACGTTCTCGTCCGGGGAAATTTACGGCGTCTAGGAAGGCAATTTTCCAGCGTTCAACTAGAGAGATCTCTCGATTTTCGCACTGCAGATAAATAAATAAAAGCGAAAACACAAATAGTCCGATGCGCGCCGTATTGGAGATATCACCATGTGCTCGAAAATGTAAAAGAGTGATAATTTCTCGAACGAGAAAGACCACCAGATGTATCGCGCAGCGTGCTCGACGTATTTCACTCGGGGATGAAAAATTTCCCAGTTATATTCGGAGAGAGAGAGCGTTGCCCAGCGGAAAATTTATGTCCCATGATCCACCGACGAAGGAACCTCTCTTTCTCTCTCTCTCTCTCTCTCTCTCTCTCTCTCTCTCTCTCGACAAATTTGTCGCCTTGATGGGAAAATGGTAGACACGAATGGGGCGAGGGCGTACCGCGAAACCGTCAGATATTTTCCAGTAAATGTACGAGGAGAACCGGCGATCTCGGGAGAAGCAGACGGAATAAAAGTCGATGTGAATATTGAAGCACAGCACTTTTACGTGCCTTCGACGCGACGTTTACCGTGCGGCTTTCTGGAAAACGTCGGCCTTAAGTGTACAGGAAGTTACGTAAAATTCCATATATATACGATCGATAAATTTAAAACTTATTTATTGGAATATTCAAATACGTGTAGCATAATATTACATCGCGATTG